CTGCCCAGACGATGGGGGCAGAACAGACCAGTAGGACAGTCAGAACACATTGCAGACGATAGTGCTTCTTCTGGTGCTCAAAGTAGCGCAGCTGTTCTTCCTTTCGGAATGGTGGCACCCCGACGCGCTGGAAGAACAGGCGGAAAGGACACAATGAAATGCACATGGCAACTCCGAGGAATGAGCAGCAGCAAGCCTGCTTGGTGGCTTCCCCTGGTCCACCTGGCTCGCTGCCTTGTACTTCGCAATTGGCTTCCACGTCATGACTGTCTTTCCGCGTTGGTTGCACGCCAACGAAGCCTTCTTCACCATGGTTTTGCGCAGGTCCCTGCGCTGCGCCATCAGACTTGACAAACATGCGTCTTACCAACCGTCTCCATGGCCGGTTGCTCAACTCTACTACCATCTTGGCACGAGCCTGCAACAGCAGTGCCGAGCGCTCCGTTCTGGAGCGAGTGTAGCTCTCACTTGTGCTATCAGGATGTTCATAAGGAGAATGGTGATGCCCCAACTGATCACGTAGAAAAGCCCATGTGTCAAGATGTAGTTTTGGCCAGGAGTCGGCTCCACCGGCTTCCACGATTGCGATTCATCAGCGCGCTCATAGGTGATGTCAAAGCCCTCAAACTCGAAGAGGTCGAAATCCCCCAAAAAGGCAAGTCTCATGACCCTCATGAAGGACACGTAAAGGTGCAAGCAAACAACCACAGGGATAGACGGCCATGTTGGTAAACCTCTTTGCAATGGCAACCAAAACATTCCACCAGCAAAAATGAAGCATCTCCATCATGCTGCAGAGCCGCTTGCAGACCCAATGGAACATTGTTCAGCAGAAGCATAAGTCTAAAAGTGCCCGCACACACCCGCGTATAAGAACATTTGGAGGTCAAAGAACCACGCCTGGCTAGAAGAAGCCCACGATGGAAGCCTTCCATCAGCCGTGCGGAATAGCAATTTCTCTGGTTGGAATCTTAGCGCGGAGGTGGTTTATTGGCTAAGAGGTCCACAGAAAAAGAACTTTTATTTTCCAGTGCGCCTGTGGCGCTCCGCCCATTTGGACGCGTGGAATACAAGGGCCAAGGTCCTTATCCACCATGCACTGGTTGCCCGAACAATAAGATCCTGCCAATATACGCCGCGCATGGTTTTGGCTAGAAGACTCTAAGGGCCAGAAACACCAGAAGACCAGAGTTATCCATACGTGCATTCGCACCTGTCCAGCTCTGTGCCGAACTCCCAGCTAAGAACAAGAACGATAGGAATATCTGAATCCGAAATCCTATCCTTCTGATTTCTTGTGGATGCCACTGATGCCACCTTCTGGTGAGCCTTCCGCATTGCTTTGAGTGTCCTCTCACGGTCCTTCACCGCTCACTGGGCTGGGCTTGGGCCAAAGAGACTAGATTTGAGTTTGGCAACGGGCGTGGAACCCTGGTTCTGCTTGCAGGGTACTCTGCCCGCCAACCGAATTCCAGCTCAAAGCGCACATCACAGGCGGTCTCCGCAGGGGCGTTCCTGAATAGGCAGCCCCTTACATTCGGCATGGAGGAAAGGAAAAGCCACGCCCACTCTTTGCGCAGCTCGATCTCCGGCGGATCATCGCTGCTGTCCAGGCGTGCCTCACCCTGCACCGATCTGCCAAACACTGATATGCACCAACTCGAAGGGCCCAGACGAGTGGCGTGGACCAGCCTGCTCGTGGCACGAGCAATATGGAGTGGTTGTATCAGCGGTAGCCCGGTGTGGGCCACCCCGCGGCGCCAGCCGGCTGCTTCGGGTTCCCGCATGCCCCTTCTGCCCTTCATCGATAATCAGGGTGCGACATCGGGTGAAGGCAGTCAAAACCTCAGACCGATACCGCCCTAGCTGCTGCGCCCCTGAGCCCTGGGTAATCAGGAGGATGCGGGCCTCCAATAGCGGGGGCGGGGGTCGTCGTCCACTCCCTATTCAACAACGCCAGCTTTCGCGGAAGCAGACTGTTTGAACCGCTCTGACAGTCGCTCCCCAAATTTTTTTTGCGTGGGAGGGCCTCGTCGACTACGGCTGCAGACAAACCAACAAACAAAAAACAGTGGTGAAACAGGGCGGCTCGATAAAAAAAGGCAAGGAGCTAGCTGCGGCGCACAGGCTTTGCCGGTGTTGGCCGTTTAGCGCAAGCTACGGAGCCTCACCGCCAGAGGCACCGGCTGACGCGGGTAAGGTGAAGAAACAGGAGAAGCAGTATGTGGTCAATCGAAAGAGCACCGGGGCTCGTCCGTTGCGCTACGGGCTCCCCGCAAGCCGAAGCACCGGGAGGGCGTGCTTCAGCAGGGTCTCGTAGGCCCCAGCTCTCTGACCGGCCCGTACTAGCCGCGTTCGTCGGGGCCCGGAAGGCCCCCGCCTCCTCCAGCCGCCGCTGCCGGCCTCTGTGAGCCGCTGGTTACCCCGGCCGCTGCCGGGCCATCTTGCCCGCCAGGTCCTTCTTCAGGGTCTAGTCGATCATCGCTGTGGCTCCGGTCCTCCTGCACCGCGTCTCTCCGCACTTGTTTCCTTTCGTGGTGTTCTCCCAGAAGTTGATGAGGTCCGCCTGCAGCCGCTCTTTCGGTGGTGCTGTGGGGCGTGGTGAAGAAGCTGCAGAAGAGGGTGGAGAAGCTGGAACCACGAGGCGATGCCTCTGGCGCGCGACGCGCTCGCGCTGCTGGTCTTGCCAGCTGCTCCGCCACGGCGACCTCTTCGTGAAAACGGTAGTCTTCCAGCGCATGCTGTGCGAGCTCCGATCCCTGGAGATCACCGTGGAGCGGATGCCGGCGCTGCTCCGCCTCGAGAGTACCAACGTCCAAGCGCCGCTGCAATCGCAACGTGGCGTAGGGCGCCGGCCTCAACCTGATCACCGGGCGCCCTATCCCGAGCAAGATGGAGGAGGTCAGGGACGGGGAGCTCAAGCTGCAGGCGTCGCAGAAGAGATACTTGATCTCGAAGCCGCCCGGCAGTGGCTCCTGGAGCGCCTCCAGCAGCTGGCGGCCGCTCCTCGGACCCAAGCGTATCGCAGTGTAGCGCAAGTGATCGACATGTGCCCCTACCGTTGCCCGGGGCGGCGGAGGAGCACCCTCCCTTTCTCGACTCTTGGAGGATGGCCTGCACTGTGAGCCGGGGCGCCGCCGGATCGGAGCGCAGGTCCCCGGACCGGAAGAGTCGGCGGATGCGCAGGGTGCGGGACAGCTTTTCGGAGCCGGTAAAATTCGTGCACTAGAACCCGAACGATTTCCGGGTGAACAGCGAGGAGGCCTGCGCTCTGTCACTCCGATGTCTTTGACTGCAGGGTCGCTCCGGGTAAACGTCGATCAGTTCGGCTTTGCCATTTGTAGTTTCGCGGACAGAGCCATGCGGCTGCGATGCTGCTCTAAGGAGAAGGCCTGGCGGCTCTGCGTCCACAGGACCATATGACTTGTGTTGGCGCGAGCTCGCGCGGCCTCAAGTGTGGTGGTCGGGTCGACTAGTGGTCGATGAGATTGTCGCTCAGTGGCAGCATGCAGATCAGACTACACTGGATACCCTGGCCCGGAATGGCAGCTTTGTCATCATGGCTCTGGGCAGCCTTGGCAGACGCATTTCCCCACTGTAATATTGCAGTGCCTTGCTACCCGCAACCATCCAGATGCTGCTGTTTGTAGTCCGCCGTCTCGTCGATCAGCCGCAAGCCTACCCGCATTCAGAGGTGTTGAGGTATTCCTGACAACGACCAGCAGGCTGCTGATGAAGGCCGTCAAGGTCAGCTTGGTGTGCGTCTCGCGGCCACATTTTCGGCGGGTGACATTTGTCCGCTGCAATTGCAGATTGGGGCTCGGATACGGCGTAGCTGGGAGAATGGAGTTGTTGCACTTCATCTCTCTACGTGAACCCGGACATCTTTACTCACCCGTCGATCTATCAGAGTCGCTTTCGTCTTTTCTTCCCGCTTTCAGAGGAGACCCTGGGTGTAAAACTTACAAACCCTGAACAACCCGTCAAGGTCTGCACAGACTTTTGCTCGCGCAACAAACGAAGAAATCAGCTGTTCTTGCACTGCACTGCTGTCACCTAAAGCTTTGCTTTAAGCTTTGCTTTAATGAGCCTCAGAACGTGTTTCATCATCGGCCCATTCTTTCAACGAGCTTCAGTCTCAAAGCTTTCCAGCCTTGAGCCACACATAAGCGCGGCACTCCGGATTCACATGTGCTTCAGCACATGTCAAAACAAAACTTCGCTTCAAAAGCATGCCGTCACAGCTTCCTACAAGCTCCACGCTGGCAAACAAACTTGCACACACTACAGCTGTTCGAGAAGGTACCTTGAGGCCTTCGAGAACTCATGCGGACTCTAATCAAACTAACGGCTCACAGCATTCACTCAGCTCACTCAAAAGCTCAAGCATGCTCAAGCAACTCATGCCACATGTCGAAAACTGTTCTCGCAGCTGAAAACCAAGGTTCCATGCCATGAAAACCGCAGCTCCCAGTGAAAATCTTCCAGTGCTTTGAGAAAACCTCTGCAAAACCAAAACCATGCAGAATATATCCAGATAACCATTGCACCTCAGAAAATTCCAGGAATCGCAGGAAAATTGGCTTGCTCCCAAACTGCAGTCAGCAGCCTGATGATATACATATCGCAGCCCATCACACTGAGCGGCTCCACCACTCAACAGGCAGCTCAGAGGTACAACTTTTCACACCCCCTTTCGATGTGTGTATCATCTCTCATCCTTGCTGCTGTCCAAAACAAGCACTTCTCGACACCAAGCACACATTGAAACATTGCCAACCATGTAGCCACGCTGCAACCCATGCGAAGCGACGAAGACATAGGTATTGGAAAAATCTCGCGCCAGATAGCCAGCTCTTCTCTCATGCCAGACAGGACGTCACCCAAAGCGAAGCCCAACAGACTTCTAACAGTGAACATACACATAGGCATCCTTGAGAATACCAGCTCTCACCGCTCATACATGTACCCATGCTCCTTCCGCAATCCCAGCGAGGATTTTACTCCTCCGCCAACTTGCGCTGGAATCCCTTCTGCTTTGAAAAACCAATCCTCATCAAATACCCCGCAAGGTCCGAGGACTGACTGGAGGAGGTCGTCGGATCATAATTGCGACCAAATTTCTCCTTGATCCAATTGAGGTAGCTTGCAAGGTCGCTATCCTCCTTGGCAAGCTTGACCAAGGTCGCATAGGACTTCTTAAACCACATCTTATTCTTCTGGACCTTTGGCAGATCGCAGATTGTCCGACCCCAATCCTCCATAGATAGATTACTTGGAAGTGGCACCGAGGTGACCTCAGTACCTGCATAGCTCACGACAATCACATTGTCGCTATCCCCAAACTCTTCCCCCTCGAATGCATCGACGAGGTCTTCATAACACTTGGGAGTGCTCACAGCACCCTTTGCGCTTCCCTTTGAAATCGGCAGCTGGGCACCGCAAGCAGATCCTGATGCAGTAGACCCATCCTCTGGATATCCACCCACATCTCTGAGACGCTTGGTCCCATCGGTCATAGAAGTATTGGCAGTCGAAGCCAAGCCATCTGCAGAATCCATCTTATCCAGCAAACGGCGCAGCTCCCTGCGTTCATCGGTCGTGAGAACCATGGCAGCACGAGTTCGCACCTAGGTTTCACACGCAAAAACAACTAGCACCAGTACGGAGCTTTGTCTGCAGACCTCAACGTCCGCAAAGAAACCGGCGTCAAGAGGAGAATCCGAACCCAGCCAACAGCCCGGCCCAAACCCCCAAAAGCATCACTGCAACGTTTTGATCGCACCTCGAACAATCGCATCAGCGAGTTTCGGAGTGTAAAAACCTGTTTCGGTCCACCCAACTTGCCACAGACTTGCATGCTTAGCACACCTGCAGCTGGAAAAACACTCCAGGGCAGACACAAACTTTTCAGAAGTCGAAGTAAAACCCAAGACTTTGCCTATAGGCTCACCCCCTTTCGAACAAAGACCAGTCATGCACAACCTCACCGGCACATCGAACGTGTGGCCTGCCTTCTTCAGCACCTTCTGGCACAAGTCATGTTGCCAAATCTCATTGTTCCATGGCAGCTCAAAGCTCGAGTGCTTCCCAAGCTTCAAGTACTTCAACACACAAGGAAACACCTCAAACCATTCCCAATCCGACTTCGACGAGCTCCCGCCAGAGAACCGACGCAAGTAAGATCCAGAAGAGCAAGGCGTGGACACATGCACAAACACGCAGTCACACGCAAAGTTCAGAAGATATCGACGCACCTCTTTGAACACGCTGTCACTCTGCATGTTCTCAGTCACGCCAACGTAACTCATCCCGACTCTGCGACATGCACCTTGAACACTCGACTGCGGTCGACAGCACACTTCAACCATCACCAATCTCTTCTCATGATTGCACAAAGACGCAAGTGGTCCCGACAGCGACTCAAAGCCCAACGCTTCGCGATGTATCCCGAAAGCCGAGGACCCCAAACATTTAGTCAAGAGGTCTGACGGATTTTCGATTCCCTTCTTAAACGCAAGGACCAAAGAACCCGCTGCGACACGAGCTTTAAGCCACTCGACTCTTATCTCAAGATGTCTGCTTTGTCTGGGTGTGTCCAAATTGCGAAGAAGCTTCAAAGCGCTTTCTGAGTCACTGTAAAGTATCCCAGGCAATTCAACTTCCTCGCTTTCTCGAAACGACATGAAGACCCTTGCCATGAACTTTCCAAGACTCGACATTTCTTGAGCAACCGACTGCAACGCAAACAGCTCTGACTCCATAGACGACAGCGACACAAGCTGTTGGTGACGACACAAAGTCTTTATCACGCAGCCATCAAGTGTCAACACTCCTCCACTGATTCCACGGCGCTTCGTGCACCTCAAAGGCGCATGCGATGCGTCAGAGAAACACACAAGGTGCCTCTTTCCTTGGTAGTGTTGCGAGGGAGCCAACACATCACTCGCAGCAGGCAACCGCACAACCACGCACATGTCGTTCTTCAGAAATCGAAGCAAGGCTCGGAGACCATGCTCAGTATGATTCGTGGGTGTGGCTTGCTGCGTTGCCAAGATTGACACATAAGCACGCAAGTCCTGACGAGTCTGCGTCATCCAAGCTACTTTCCCCAACGCAGACCTGAACCTGGCATACGCCTCAGGAGACAATGGAACCCCATCTTGCTTCTCAACATGAACCGCAACATCTGGAGGACTTGAGGAACCTTTTCCCGAAAGACCATAAGCCTTGAAGGTCTCATCCAAATAATCTTCTGGCAAAGACACTGTGATAGAGGACTCCCCCTTTCTCCTGGAGATAACCCTACCAATAAACCGCAAAGTGCCACCGCCATCCTTGGAAGAATTGATCAACCCGGTTCTCTTGAGTTCAACTTTCTTCTCAATCACCTCAAAGATGTGATCTGCATCCTCCTTTGTTGGCGCAATGCACAGAAAATCATCCACATAGACCAACAGCAAACAGGGACCTGACTCAAGCATGCCTGAAAACAGACACGGCTCTAAGCTGCAACTTTGAAGCCCCAAAACCTTCACAGTCTCCCCTACGAAGTAGATCCATTCTTGCGAAGCCTTGCGTAGCCCATTGAGGGCTTTGTTGAGGTGAAGATACAAAGGATCCCCTGAAACCGAAGACACTGACAGAGGAAACCTCATCACCACATCCCTTTCTCTCAAAGGCGTAGCCATGAAAGCGTGAGATACATCAGCACCTGCAATCACGCAATCTCTGCAACCTGCAACCCCAAGAACCGTGAACAAAGCATCGGCACTAGGAGTAGGACTCGAGATGCCCAAAGCCCTTGCAGACTCTGAGTTCTTGCCAGCAATATCCTTGATGACAATCCTAGCTCGCACTGTAGTTGGTGTTTTCTGCGTCGTGACCCAACGACTAGGGATGACCTTCAAGGTACCTGGGAACCTCTTCTCAAGACTCTGAAGTTCTGAAGCAGTCAACAGATCCCCAGTTTCCATGTGACTCAAATTGTTGACTTCTTTGACCATGCCTTCCATGACCTGATCTCCTGAAAGCTCACCCAAGGTAGAGTCATCAACAGCGGAACTAGGCTTCCAAAGTCTCAAATGCGACCTTTTCCCAAACGGCAAAACAACACTCGTAGAGTTCGGGGCGAACTGAACCGAATCCACAAGCCCTGAAAGCAAAGGGACATAATTGGAAACCTGGAACGCCTGCTCAACAAAACTCGCAAGAGGCATGTGAACATCATTCCCTGTTTCGCAATTGTGGAAGGTAACCATAACTGAAGCAACCCTTTCTTGGTCCTGCCTGATCTCACGCTCCAGATCTTCCAACGGGACTTCAGAGGAGCGTTTCACAGCACTGCTTCCACGAAGCACTTCTTCAGCCTCTAGGCTGCCTCCGCCTTCACTTCCAGTCAACACTGGATCGGCAAACGGCATCTCAGTGTCCTCATCAAGAGCCCCAATGCCCTCAGACTCAGGAGCAGCAGCTCCTTCAAGATTTTCAGGCAGACGCCTGGATGAAGCTTCGTCATCATCGGGCTCCCCAGAAACAGAAAATCTAACACTGAGATGTTGGTTCCTTCGCTTGCAATCAGCATTGTGACGAATGCCAGGAGCATTCATGCCAGACTCGCACGCAGGACAACCACGCGTGAAAACACGACCACTGGGGGCCGCCTCGCTCACAATCCTCGCTGGAGCCTCAGACGAAGCAGCGTCCCCATTGGCCGGGGGAGGCAAAGGAGAACCCTGAGCCTCCTCCACAGCTCGGTCTTGCCTCGACTCATCCTCGGCTAGCTCAGAAAGAGCTTCACGCATAGCCTCTGCATCCGAAGCCACAGGCACTTCAACGTCCATGCTGTCATCTGTTGCAACTTGCGACCGCAACCACGCTTCATATCTCAAACAGCAAGCCCGACCGTGAGAAGAGCCCTTCCTAGACCCAAATTGTGCCATGTTAGAACACGCTCGGCACTCACCTGAGAACCCATACCTCTCAAAAAACTCCTTTGGCGGACCGGAAACAGGACACTTCAAAGAGGCACCCTGGGAACTCGGAAGAATCCGAGGCGCAACTGGATGATCTGGCCTCTCAGGCCCAAGCTCACCACGACGACGCAAAACTTCAAACATCCCCGACTCGAAGACAAGCTCAATCGGAAACACAAGCTTGATCGACTTGGCAACAAACACCTTTGGCGTCAAGACCTGGCCCACACGCACATGCGCATACACCAAGCTCCCAAGCGACCCAAATTGCGGGTGAAGAAAAGCTGCCGCCTCAAAACGCGACATATTCGGGCACAAAGCCTTCACAGACTCAGGGACCTCAGCAAGCACCTTGGACCCAAACAACGCAAAAGGGGTATCTGGCAACCTTCGACCAACTGCAACCTCCTTTGGAGAGCGTTCACCGCCAAAAGCTTTGCCATTCGAATTCACACTCATGCACAGGTAAGAAAGTGCAAGCTGCAACAAGTCTCTCCGAAACGACAAAACGCAACCAAGCGACTGAAAATCACTTTGCAGAGTAGCTAGCCCTTCTTTAAGGACCCGGACTGTCCTTTCCGCACCACCAAGCTGTTCATGAGCTTGTGGCGCAGCCTTGCGCACCATAAAGATGTACTTATCCGACGCACCTGCAACAAACGACTTCACCGCTTCTTCGGAATCTGTCAAAAGCACAATGCTTGCCTGTGAGGACGACAACCCAAACTCAGCAAGCCACTTCAAAAGAAGACCTCTGTCCTTTGCAATGTTCTCAGTTATCATCACAGCCCCAATAGAAGAAGAAAAGGCCTCACGAAGGACGAGGACCTTGAAAGAGCTACTTGTCTGGCGCTCAGCTACGCTGATCGTCTCTCCAGAAGAGTCGAGAAACATAAAATCTGCAACAATCTCTGTTTCCACTCCGCGCTCAGACTTTCGCCTGTGTTGGGTAACACCTCGGGACTTCAGACAATGCTCGCAATCAGGATGGAAGGGCATGTGGCCCTTTGCTCTGTGAATTTCAAGATCTTCCTTGGTCTTCTGCGAAACAACTGCAACATGTCCAATCGAGGAAATTGGAGCAGGATCAACTGAGGCATCCGACGGCAACAAGAGATCACCTTCTGAATGAGGAATCACGCGGATCCAAGGCGTGTCACACCAAATACAGGTATCAATCATATCAACACCCGACTTCACATGACACACAGAAACGCCTTCATCCAAGACAACACGCCAACCATGCCTTCCAAGAGTTCGCGTTGACAGGATATTGTAAGGAGTGTCACCCACCATCACAGGAATCTTGCAGACACCATTCTTGGTAGCTCCACTTGAATCCTTTGTGCGAACCTTTAGCACAACATGGCAAGACCATCAAAGGGAACAGGAGTCCCATTCGCAGCCATAAACGTCGAACCACATGCAGTCAACTCATCATGCGGAAGCGTCTTCAACGTCACATGGTTGATAACACAGCATGACGCACCTGAGTCAAGCAGCCAAAACTCACTTCCAAGCGACTGACCCAACGACTGCAACAAAGGTTGACACAACTGCTCTTGGAGCACAACAGACACCGACTCGCTGTCTTCAAGGACAGCTTCAAAACGCGTATTGGGCTCATCAGTTAACTCAATGACACAAGATAACACAAGAGTGGAGTCCACCTGCTGTGCTTCTTGCTCATCACCTTCCTCGGTGTAAAAAGATTCATCAGCATCTGTGTACCACCAAACCCCCGTTTCCTCATCAAACAGAGCAAACATTTTTCCTTTCTTTCCTCCTTTTCCTTTGCTCTTGCCTTTAGGCGAAAAAGAAACTTGACCCTTGGCCGCAGCAGCACCTTTGCCATCAGAACCCTTAGGTCTCGCACTCGACTGAGAAACATCACCCTGCTTGCCCTTGGCACAGTTCAAAGATATGTGGCCCATCTCTCCGCACTTGAAGCACTTAACCTTGGAAAGGTCTGCCGTGCACTGATTCACTTGATGCCCCTTCTTGCCACAACGGTTGCACTTCACACCGCTCCCAGCATCAGAAGGCCTAGCACTCATGCCAAAGACGTGACCATCCATTCCCTCACCTGCCTCAGGCGAACCTGCGCTCTCAGAAAACTCGGTTTCATGCAAGCCAAACAAACCTTTGGCCCCTTGCAACTCAAGAAACAAACGCTGCTGATGTTCCCATCGCAAAGCTGAAGATCGATATGAGGCATATGTCTCACCCTGCGAATGATGTAACGTATACGCCTTTGCGCTCTCAGGCAAAGACCTCATCAAAAGCGTAAGCTGATCACTGTCAGTCAAAGCAAACCCAGCAGCATCTCTAGGATCTAGCGTCGAAAGTAAACGCACAAACCTTGCCACTGCCACCTCAATCTGACGCACTGTGTCAGCAACTGGAGCTGACGAGTCTTGCGCTCGAAACGTTCTTGCCATCAGCATCGCCCTGAGACTCATAGCCTCAGCACGACTTCTCAAAGAAAACTCCTTGGCAAGCTGCCTAAGCAACTCAAAACCATTACCCATATACGAAAGAGAGTTCCCGAAAACATCTCCCTGCATGGCGACTGCAACAATGTCAAGCCCTTCTCCGAAGCTTTGGATCATAAGAGTTATCCGCCCATGATCTGCAAACGCTGCCTTCAGCACACTAAACAAACGAACTCCTCGCGCTTGTTGACTCTTAGACAACGTGTTCCATGCAATCTGTGTAGGCCATCGCGCGGCCTGAGCGATCTCCTTTCCAAACTCAACACTTGCTTGATTCGCCCATGCAACCAACTCGTGAATATAGGCATTCATGCCCAGCACTTCGGATTCACGCCCTTTCCACGCTTGATGATTTGGCGAAGGTGGAGACCCTAGCCACTTCTCACTGCGGCTAAAGACGTCTTTGTCTTCACTGCTCCTCGCATTTTCAGCTGGAACACCAGGTAACGTGTTACCTTGATGTCTCACAAAAGCTGGCACATTCAAATCAGGTGGCGACTGCCCCAATCTCTCAGGAACGAACTGTCCACTCACAGGGACATTCAGTCTTTGGCTAAGATCTGCATACAAGGACTGCAACTCACGCGCATTCATGCGATCAAGCAGCTGTCTCCCTGCACTAGCATTATCTCCAGAAACCTGACTGCAACATCCTTGACTCGGAACTGTCGAAAGATTCCTCGCAGGACCCGAAGGCACTGACAAACCTGGAGCTGGCGCCACTGGCCTAATACCAGCACATGCACTCGCAACTGAAGACGTACCGCTCGAAGGTGGACATGGCATGCTAATATGAGACTCCATCGGTCCCATTCCAGCACGCATACGATTTCCATACAACGCCCAGGGATCTCTCTGAACACCTGTAAACCATGGATCGCTTGACCCAACACCACTCACACCTTCCACACCTGTTTGCCTCCTTTCCTGTTGCCCACACCCAGCTGTACCACACCCATACTCCCCTCCAGCCTCAGCAAGACCTGGACTACACGGAGCTGGCGCCTCAGCACTTGGACCTATAGGCCTTTGAGACATAACACCTTCTTTGGGTCGGCGGAAATGGTGTGGGAGCACAAACAGTGCTCCGCTACCATGTAAAACTTACAAACCCTGAACAACCCGTCAAGGTCTGCACAGACTTTTGCTCGCGCAACAAACGAAGTGTTCAGCTGTTCTTGCACTGCACTGCTGTCACCTAAAGCTTTGCTTTAAGCTTTGCTTTAATGAGCCTCAGAACGTGTTTCATCATCGGCCCATTCTTTCAACGAGCTTCAGTCTCAAAGCTTTCCAGCCTTGAGCCACACATAAGCGCGGCACTCCGGATTCACATGTGCTTCAGCACATGTCAAAACAAAACTTCGCTTCAAAAGCATGCCGTCACAGCTTCCTACAAGCTCCACGCTGGCAAACAAACTTGCACACACTACAGCTGTTCGAGAAGGTACCTTGAGGCCTTCGAGAACTCATGCGGACTCTAATCAAACTAACGGCTCACAGCATTCACTCAGCTCACTCAAAAGCTCAAGCAACTCATGCCACATGTCGAAAACTGTTCTCGCAGCTGAAAACCAAGGTTCCATGCCATGAAAACCGCAGCTCCCAGTGAAAATCTTCCAGTGCTTTGAGAAAACCTCTGCAAAACCAAAACCATGCAGAATATATCCAGATAACCATTGCACCTCAGAAAATTCCAGGAATCGCAGGAAAATTGGCTTGCTCCCAAACTGCAGTCAGCAGCCTGATGATATACATATCGCAGCCCATCACACTGAGCGGCTCCACCACTCAACAGGCAGCTCAGAGGTACAACTTTTCACACTGGGTCTCCGACCGGCGGCAGAGCTTAGTCTGCAGCCTGCCGGCCTGCTGTCCAGTGCATTGGCCAGAGTCCGACAGTAGACACAGCAGAATGGCTACGACCTGCGCACAGCTCTGGCGGTTTGGCTACCTGGACCCAAACGGATCACTATGTGCTTCCCCGAACGCTTTTACTTACTGGAGAGTCATATTGTGACTGGCCGGCATGCGGAGATCATTAGGCGAAACTTCGCTGATGTTCCCATGGGCCCCCGCATGGACTATCCGTCACACACTCTTGGGCCAGAATCTCCGTATTGACGACTGGGTTGCGGCTGCTAGGCCTGCTAGGCAGTTCGTGGCCCTAGGAGGACTTGCGGGCGGTCTAGAGTGTCAGTTCTTGGGCTTCCGGCTGGTGTCCAACCACCATAGCATACCTACTTTTTACACCCGACAGCTGAAAAAACGCCAGGATGCGGCGAGTGGATGTTCTTATACACCCTTAATGACACACATATGGATGACTCCACATACTTTCGCAGGGTTCTCTGGGAGCTTGCCGTGCGGTATTAGGAGCGGCGTGCTCCGCACGTCCGCCTGTCATTATGGGAGTGAGACGTCCGGAGTGACTGATACCCGACCGGCTGTTCGGTCGCTGTTAGGCTCATCGCTTATGCCCTGCCCTGGCCATTCGGCTACGAGCGTATGTCACCATCGCTGCCGTGTGATCGGAGTTGCAGCCATGGCCACGCTGCCGGAGCATCTTGCTGCACCGATTGTCCTCTGTGCTTCCGTACAGTCGATACCGGTGCTCTTTGGAGCCCCGCTGTCAGCTGCTACCCGACAGGTACTCCGCGCCATCGGATCACAGGAGCGCAGGGCTGCTGACCTTTGTGCTCCGTCAGCTCTACGCGGAATATCGTCGCCGTGCCTCTGCCTACTTGGCACAGCTCAATTTCCATAGTTTCCAAATGTTACATTCTTTGAACACTTGCAGAAGATATGGCTTTATCGTTCGAAGAAAAACAACATGACACCCCGGCGTGGTGTCCCTCAGGCCGTTATGCGTGCTTTTCAGCATCTCCACCAAGCTCGGGAGGTCGTGGCACAACAACGACTTACCCTGCAGCAGCGACATGCAGGCCAACGCAGGCAGCAGCTGACAGGAGCCATCACGGTTTCTCTCGACCTCAGCAAAGCTTTTGACTCCCTGGAACCTGAGTTCATGCATCAGGCTCTTGAAATGAGTTGCCTGTCACCGGAGGTGTGTCGCCTGATTGAGAACTGGCATCACGGGATTATCTACCACATTGAGCACGAACAGTGCCGAGCCCAGATCAACTGCAATAGAGGGATTCGTCAGGGTTGTGCGATCTCTCCCCGAGTGTGGTCACTCTTTACCATACTCATCATGAGTGAGATGGGGCCGGAGTGGAGCCAGCGCCATAGCACATGGTTTGCGGATGACGCGCTGTTTCAGGCATTGGTTCACTCCGAGAATGAGCTGCAACAGCAGCTTAAGGCGATCTCCAAGGCCTTGTGGGTGCTGCAAAAACTGGGCCTTTCTATTGCCTCAACCAAGTGTGCGGTTCTGCTACATCTTGGCGGCACTGCCGCCCAACGAGTCCGTGCCAAACTTGTAAGCACCCATAACAAAAAGCCGCACATCACCTTTCAGCACGAGGATCATGTGTGGCGGCTGCCACTCGTTTCTAAGCACGACTACCTCGGTGCCACTCTCAGCTACAGTCGCATGGAGGATCTTACAGCTACCAGACGTATCCAGGCGGCTCAGACTTCCTTTGATCGTCTCAAGCCAGTGCTCACCCACAAAGGTCTCCCGCTTTTCATGCGTCTTCAGATTTGGCAGGCCTGTGTGGTCAGCAGTCTCCTCTATTCGCTACCGCAAGTGGGATTGACACCCAGCGCTGCCCAGCGAGTCTCCGTGATCTTCTACAGGCAACTCAGACACATCACTCGACAGCCGGTGCATCTCACAGGCAAAAGCAACCAACAGCTGTGCCAGGAACATCGTCTATGCGACCCGATCCACAGTGTCGCCAAGAGAGCACTTAAACAAAAAGAGCAAACGGCTACACTACAGGTCACTCTCACGACTCCTGACGCGCGTCTCAGTGATGACATCTTAGCCTGTGAGGCCCGATTGGTTGTCCAGCGACAGCAAATTGTTACTGATAGGACCACCGACCTGCCCCAGCAGGCACCCAGTGAATTCCCGTGTCCACAATGCGACTACAAGGCAAGGAGCAAGACTGCCCTAACCAAACACCGTAACAAAGTGCATCAGGCTGGACTGCAGCCCTCGCATTATCTCTCCTGGAAAGAGGTGGACCGCTTTGAGAATGGAACTGAAGGGCTCCCCACCTGCTGGTGGTGTAGCAAGCAATTTAGCTCCTGGCAGCAACTGCAGCGACACATTCACGACAATGTGTGTCAACACAAGTCGTGTCAGGTGCCAGCAGACGTTGATACTGCAGCTGGCCCAGGCAACTCGTCCCAAGCCGAAACTGGTGACAATCCTCAGTCGCTGCCTCCGGCGCTTGCTGTCCAACCACAGAGAGTCAGCTCTGAGTGCCCTGACCTGACCCACATGTCCAAGGCAAGCTGATACGCACCGCCTGGCATCTAGCTCAGCGGCGCTACCTGTACCTCTGTCGGCGCTGCCCGACACCGGCATCACGGAACCTACTGCGCCACCCCGACAGCCTGCCGCCCGCGAACCGCAGGTTCTGCGCACGCTTTAAGAGCATGAGCCCTGGGATGGTACTAAAATCCACCTGCGCGGCTCGCACGCGAAGGAACGGGAGCAGGCAGGGAAAGCCGCCGAGACAACTGTCTGAATTACGCCAGTTTTTTTTTTTTTTGTGACCAGCAGCACTGGATGTCCCTTTTGCCTGGCGCCCAAGTTTGCGGATAAGAGAGCTGCTCGTGCACATGCACAAAACTGTCAGGTCTTGTTTCAGCTCGTGTTCCTGCGCATCCTTCGCCAGCCGAGCCCTGGAGCCCCGGCCCGGGAGCTGCAACATCTCGTGCTGCAGAATGGCGATAAAGTGCCTGTTGCCATTGCTGTGCCCGTGCAATCGAGACCCACACCTGAACAGAGCGAATTTCTCCTGAGGCACTGCTGTTTTTGTGCTCAGACCCAGCCCGACCTCCGATCCCTCAAAAAACACCTCTATAAGGCTCATCCCCAGACGTGGCTAGATACGGACTCTTTAAGGCGTGATTGCAAGGCTCTCCTCACCACTGCTAACAAAACTTGTCCGTATTGCAACAAAACGTCCCGTATCGCCAGGGATCAGCCCGGTACTCTACCAGTTCTGCCTGCTGCAGCGACTTCACTGTGCACCGCTGCCGGAGCCCAGCTCGGAACATGGAAGAGATCCTAGGGCCGCTGTTTCCAGCAATTCGAGAGCAACTGTCCGCAGCAGACTTAGGGGGAAGCAACCCGCTGAAGCGGCCCAAGCCGGACCCGGAGATCGAGCCTCGAGGCAAGGGCAAGGGCAAAGGCCTGGGCAAGGGGAAGGGCCTGGAGAGTGCACATGAATAGGTACGAGTTGGACTGAACCACTTGGAGTATCTGAGGGTCCGTCCTTCGCGCCTCCGTGTTGTCATCAGTGACAAAAAGACACCCCTGATGGAGGAGGCATGTGCGATAGTGACCGGCGTATGGTGTGCGGCCTTCATGAAAAGCTATTGCATTGACTTGGTATCGCACATATGTGATGCGTAACGTGCTCATCCTCCCAGATGGGCACCTGCAGTGACGGCTCATCGAAGCTGATTGGCGTTGCGAGTTTGCGCACCGCACCAGTGCGTTCATAAACACATACCATTTCAGCTGTAAGCAGAGAAGTGCTGAGCGCACAACCACATCGTTGACCCCGAAAGGTTGCGGACCTCCTCTGCTTCGCGGCCGTGCTTCTGCCTCTCCTTGTGCATGGTGGCGGCTATGAGCTGTGAGACTGCTAGCCCAGCCAGCTTCGCAAAGGCAGGATCTGGCACTGTGGACTCCGAAGGCCCACCGTCACCTTGAACACCACAGAGGCGCCGCTCATGCTTTCCGTCAGTCTCCGCTTGGCCGTGAACTGGTTCACAGCCTCGGGGTCCTCCTTCAAGGCTGCAATCATTGTGTCCAGCAGAGTCTTGACATCCTGATGCTGCATACCCTTTCGGCTCTTGTCGAGGACAAGGAGATGTGCTTCCGGATCCATTTCTGGTAGAGCCAGGTCAGCGGCTGGTTGGTCACCCACTTGGCCTTCTCCGCCCCCGCAATGCTTTCCGGCGTCTGCTCGAACTTCATCATCCGTGCCGCGGTTTCTTTGATCATCAGGCTGAAGAGCTCGGACTTCAGGCTGCAGTCGACCTTCATCTGATCTCGGAGCTCGTTCCATTTCAGCGAGGCCTGGATCAGTGGCTTGAGGATGCCGTGGGGCCCAGCGCTGACGTGGAGCATGAAGGACTTCTCCTGCCGAAGCTCGCTGAGTTCCGTCTCCTGTCTCAGGCACAGCTTTGCCATGGCATAGATCGCGGGCTCGACATTCAGGCCCTGCGCACTGGGCCACGAAGAAGTGTCCCAAGTGGATGCTGTCCACTGTGGCCACTTGCCTTCGCCCTTTCCTTCGGCCGACGCCAGGCAAGTCTCACAGACGACGACTGTGTGTGCTCTGCCGCGTGGGAGTGAAACAACATGACAGAATGACTCAGAGAACTGAGTCCAATTTTCCCTAGGCGGCCGGTGACCGATATATGATGAACTGTTCTGGTCACCTCCGAGCGCAGTTACCACGCAAACGGGGCCAGTTCCAGGAACTGGTGCCCTAACCTTTGTTAACACTAATATTATATATATATATATATATATATATTAAATATATTACTATAATATATATATATATGCTCACACCCCCCCCCAAGACCTACCGCGAGGTGCTTCGGCTAGCAATGGGTAGTAGAACATGTAATAAACAATGGAAACGTATATCGTGTAAAATCAATAGCTGAATACACTGTAATGACCTACGACGGCGCGACATCGCCGTTGGCGGATTTGGGCAAGCTTCAATGCCTGCAATTGTTTAATAGGATACTGCCTAAATGTTCCGGATATTCATAACTCTGGTCATATAATGACCATAGGCATAACCCGAAGACAGGACCAAGACAGAACAGTGTCTACATCCTACGTAAGATCGTTAGATGCGCCGGGTAACTTTGTGTTTGTCATTGTCTGTTTTTAATTTTGTTCATGTACTCATAGGCATAACCCAAAGACGGGACCAAAACAGAACGATGTGTGCATCCTACCTAGGATCGTAATGAGGGTTACATGTGCACACATGTTTATTCTGTGTGAAGCTCTTAGGTTACTCATGCGCCAATGTGTATAATAGCTATTACTAGTGCGAATACTAATACTGATACTAAGATTTCTATTCCTACGAATAAGGATATTACTGTTCATAACATAATAGGCTTAATGGTTAATACTAGTATTAAAAATTGCACTACTAATTCGAATAGTAGTGCTGATGGGAATATTAACACTCCTGGGGATACTAATACGCATATTCTTATTAACTGTTCTCAATATGAATACTAATAGTACTAGTTGTTTGGAATACTAATACTTGTCCGAATATTCATACCAATACTCAGGCTACTGCGATTATACATAATAGGACATTAATATGGGTATTCGTATTAAGGTCAGCATTTCCTTCGAAAGTATTCATATGCGCATCATAATTCATCTTAATACTCGTACTGATATGAATTAGTATGATTACAAATACTTTTACGAAGACGGGTACTTTCAGTAATACCGATACTAATATGAATACTAGTGTTCCTACGAATATTAAAAAACATACCCATATTGATAGTAATTTTATTTTTTATTTGTTACCAATATACACGCAAATGCTAACATTAATACTAATATGCACATAAGTGATACAGTTCCTCCGCAGATTAATGCGCATAGTCTTATTAATTATTCTCAGTATTTATATTCACATTAAAAAACCTACACTAACATGAATAGCAGTATTACCACTTGATACTCCAGATAATACGATTATGCATAGTATGAACAGCGATACTGCTATTGATACCAATATTAATGCTCCTACGAATACTAATAATCACGTTCAAACCAAATACAAAAAACAGACACATCAATGTACCAAAGAATCTGTATTTTCACATACCAATAAATAATATACTCGTATACTACTATTCCAATGTTACCATAGACTATGAGACTATACACTGGTTAATATTAACACTAAGAATAAGGCAGAGACTAAGACCAAGACTAATACGAATACTAAAACTCACACTAGACATTAACACTACCATTAGTACACCTATTGTATAGACTTATATTCAGACTAATACTAACGCTGACATTGGAATTGACATTGACACTGACACCAACACTAACAGTAACACGAATCAACACGCTAGAACGCAGATACTAATACTAACACTAATGCCTAATGCACATCTGAAGACTACTGCGCGTAAACAACGAAACCATTTCCGATCAAGCATGCTGCGCGCTGTATTGGCTCTAAGGCTCCGAGAACCAAAAATCCAAAAAACCAAAAAACCAAAAATCCAAAACCTTTGTCAGGGGGGTCGAAACTTTTGGATTTTTTGGTTTTCCTAGGGTTTTTTTGGTTTTCCAACAGAAAACCAAAAAAATCCAAGGTTTTTTTGGTTTTCCAGCAGAAATCAAAAAAATCCAAGGTTTTTTTTGGTTTTCCAGCAGAAATCCAAAAAAAACACAGGTGTTTTTTGGTTTTTCACGAGAGACACAGCAGAAAAACCAAAAAAACTTGTGTTTTTTTGGTTTTCCACCGAAAATCCAAAAAAAGCCATGGTTTCGCCAAGGCAAAGCTCAAAAAACCAAAAAAGACCTAGGAAAACCAAAAAATCCAAAAGTTTCGGGCCCCTCAGAACGGCTTTGGATTTTTGGATTTTTGGTTTTTTGGTTTCCGCCGTCGTATCGTATGGTTTCTTTTAATGTTTCTTGCTTATGAATACAGGCATATGAATTTGAAAGCGGACATGAGTAGGCACGACGTTGTAAAGAGACATGACTTCACATCAGCCATGATAGAGAAGGTATCATCCCCGAAAATTACGCAAAACACGAATCGTATGCCAAACGCGAATCCCTGCCAAGAGAAGGTTTGGACGGTATTTACAATGGAAAAGAGGCCGAGGTAGGTCATGGGGGGGGTGTGTCCATATATATATATTATAGCTATATGAGATATCTATATATAAGATAATATAATATTCGCTTTTTGCTATATATATTCTATATAGATAGATATATATATAGGATATGTATATATAGTATATATATAGCTATTATATATATATATATATATATATATATATATATATATATTCATGTATATACATATATAGCTATATATATATATACATACATATATACACGTGAAACCGCTTCTTTCGTGCTGCAACACAGGAATCGAGGCCCAACAGCTCTCGGTCGGTGGGCCCTTAAACCGAAAGTCACCCTAAACCCTAAACCACAGAACTGGAAAGAATCCGAAGATTATCCTCATCTTTCTAGGCCTCTGAACCCTGAGATCCTTATCCATAAGGCCGATGGCGACTCCGAGATCCCCTGTAAGATCCTTAACTTCAGACCCTACAGCCCAGGACACATGGCTGTGCCGCTCTCATGTCATATGCAGTACAC